GAAACCTTATAGGCAATAAGGAAAGGAAAGGGGAAGAAAGCTGAGAGGCTGAGCATTTATTACAAACAGACTGACGTTGTTCAGATGATGAGATGGAACTAATAGTAGCAGATAGGTAATATCACTGTTTATTTTCACCCCTGCTGTCACCAACACCACCACCCTTTATCCCAAATTTCCCTCATCTTTTAATCTTGTTTCTTTGAGGACCCTGTCCAACTAGCCTAACCATTCATCGCTGCCAAGAATTCATGAATATCCATAATTCAGGTCACTTCTTCCTCCATACAAAGTGAAAGACCAAGTGTAATGTTTTTGGCTTTACCCATTGGGAGAATTTGCCTTCCCCACCAGCGCCACCCCTGAGTAGGGCTATAATATGGCAGCAGTCCACTTATAATTAGTTCCAACATATTGTGCTGACTTATTGTGAGCCAGGAGTAAGTTTTGTTTCTCTTTTTGTTTCTTTCCCCCTACTTCATCAGTTGATCATAATTAACCCCTATGAGGTTATGTGTGTTAACCGGGAAAGAGACATGAATACAAAAGAAATAGGTGCCATGAGAATCTGGGCCATTTGGTCATATAAATTACTTGTGCCTTCTGGGCCTTCTCAAGCCCAATCCCAAATTATAATGTCCATCATCTAATGAAGTTTTCATGTTCTCAAAAATGAGACCAAAGTCTTCTGTCTTGGAGGATTTTATTATACCCAGATCATGATGGAAAGACTCAGTTGCGTTACAGGGTCCTTGCTCAAGGATTCTCAATTTACCCTTCAGTCAATAGACTGGGTCTGTAAACTCACTTACCTCTGGAAGCTGGATGAGGAACCATGAATTTTCTATCATGATGACTATTAGGCTTTTGCTCACCACCTCTTGATAAAGCAATGCCCTGATGGCTGACAATCTATCTCAACTCTTACAACACCACAATCTGTTATCCATCACCACAGATACTAGTGGGTTCAGGCAGCTTAATTGCCACTCCAGCCTTGCTTCTCATTGTAATAACTGTGTCAAACTTACATCTGGCCTCTGTCATTCTGGAACCTCATTATCCCCATCACCAGTAGGAAGTTGAGGCAACATCTTTTAGAGTAAACTCCAGCCTATAAGGACAACTACTATCAATCTCCTGAAAGATGCCATTGTCCCTGCACCAGTACAGTCCTCATTTCCTTAGTTTAAGTAGTGCCTTCCAGGCCCTCTCATTGAGCATAATACTGTCTCACATAATAAATTCATTAAAATACTCCCACCTCCCGAATCTTCTTGCTCCCAAATTTCGACATCTCCAATTCATTTACTGTAGACCATTTCCGCATCCAAATTTCAAGGAATGAGATTCTCAGCAGCATTTTAGGAGTGGCTCCAAGTGTTCTTGTGAGAATTAAATCTTTACTCACAGAAGAGTGTTCTCATATCAAAAAATTCTCCCTTATCCAGTTTTATAGTCTACCTTCTATAGTCAAACACCAACTTCCACATGTGATCTCATAGTTCCTACCAGTACAAGTGGACTAGCACTTTCAATTCCTTTGGTGTATAAGCTATTTCTCTCCAGAGCACAGATTGTATTTCCCTGTAAGGCTGTGTTGAGGCCTGTAATGCTTAATCTTATGTGTCAACTTGGCTACCATGTCAGCTATTTGGTCAAGCATCAGTCTAGATGTTGCTGTGAAGGAATTTTTCAGTTGTGATTAGTCAGTAGACTTTAAGTAAAGCAGATTACCCTCCATAATATGGGTAGGCCTCATCCAAACAGTTGAAAGCCTTAAAAGCAAAGACAGAGTTTCCCTGAAGTAGAAGGATTTCTCAAGACTACAACATAAAAATCCTGCCTGAGTTTTTAGACTGCTGCCCTGTGGAATTTGAACTCAAGACAGTGTGAACTCTTACCTGAATTTCCAGCCTGCTGACCTGCTCTATGGACTTTGAACTTGCCAGCCTCCACAATCGCATGAGCCACTTCCTTAAAATAAATCTCTCTCTCTCAATCTGCACACCCACACACACATACCACACATGTATCGTTCCTATTGGATGTATATTGGTTCTCTTGGTTTTGATCCTGTGGAAAACTCTGACTAACACGAGACCCAAATTTGATTATAGGCCTGAAGGTAATGAGAAGACATAGGGGTAGATATTGAAAGAGGCTGCTCACTTCCAGCAAGGAGCATTCCATCCTGAGGGTTTGCCTTCTAGGACTACTTCCTATTGTCTTGGCCTGGGTTGTCCTAGAAGCAGAGCCTGAGGCAAGGTAAAACCTTCAGTGCAGGTTGTCTATTTGGGAAGCAGGGAGCAGGAGTGAAGGGCAGGGGAGAGAAAAATGGGAGAACGAAGAGCCAGTACACAGTAGGTGCATTACTGAGTCGGTCACCACCGCAGGTGACTGATGCTCGATCCCATGTCAACTTCTAAGGAGTCTTATGAAATGTCTCTGAGAACTCTATGGCCGGGAGATAAAAGGGAGAATTACTTATCTATTCAGCTTGCACCCTCCATTGTTCAAGATTGTGCTTTGTATTGTGCATACATGGGTACTACATGGATTCACTACTTACGTAATGAACCTTGAAATTTGTCACCCAGAACTACTTGAGGGGTAAAACAGTAAAACCAAACACTCTATTCTCTATCACCCATATCCTATAATTCAGTCTCTCACTTGCATACTTTTATTTTACCTTCTTTCCAGTGCCTAATCTTTGATTCCTACCTTTTGTCCCATTCACAGTGCCCTACTGGTTTCTAGTAGGTTCAGATCTTGTCTCTGCCACTTACCAGCTCTCTGACCTTAGGGAAGTTACTTCAACTCTCTAGGCCTCAGTTTTCTTGTCTATAAAACGGGATAATAACAGTACTAACTTTATGGAGTTGTTGTGAACATGATTTGAGATAATGCATTTAAGGCACTTAGCGTCCGATATATGGAAACCAGTCAATAAATGATAGCTATTATGACTATGATAGTGGTTACAACAACAATGATGATATTTGTTTGGCTCAGGTACTACAATTCATCATCTACTCTCTTATCTTTTGATCTTTGGGTTTCTGCTGGTCCTGACCAATAAACTACAAATCCAAATTTATGGTCTCTTCACCTTAGTTGGACTGTTGGAGCAGAGTTAGCTATAATTACCAAAAAAGAGAAGATGAGGACTCATATCTATTCATATTCCTAGCTTTAGCTAGAATAACACTACTGTTTTTCACACAGTGGTTATTGCAAAGGCTTGCTATCTCACTTTTTTGGAGTGATGTCCTTGCTTATTCTGAGCAAAAATTGAAATCAAGACAAGGAACACCTCAAAACCACCCTCCACTCCCTGCTTATATAGATACACACACTTGGGCATCTCCATCTTTCACCCCCTCCTTTTGTCATTTCTCAGAAGATGCTTTGTACCATTATCTAAATCTAAGAATTCAACATTTGTCCTTACTTCATCAAATCAACAAACCTATTGTTACCTCGATATGCTAGTCAAGGTGTGAGACTCTGACTTAAAAGAGTTCTGGAACCTGACTGCCTCGCTTTCAGTCTTTGCTCTGCCAGTATCTAGCAGTGTAGCATTTGAGAAGTCATTTAGCCCCTGAACTTCTCAGCTTAACCTCTGCTAAAATGGAAAATAAGAATACTTATCGTATAGTGTGGGTTGTGAGGGTAAGTTAATGTGTGTGAAGTGCTTAGAACAAGGCCTAGACTCTAAGGGTTGTACAAGAAATAGCAATTACTTTTCTTCTTCATGTAGAGGATACACTGGTTGAGAGACTTAGGGAGAAGCAGAGCAAAAGGGAGAGATCCTTTCTCCCTGCCCTCTGGCATCTTGAACTAAGATATTACATCCTTTCTCCCAGGGATTTGATTCTTGAGCAGAGGAACCAAAGCTTGAAGGACAGATGAGAAGAACATTCAAGCCTGTATCAGGGGCTTTGAGAGCTTATGTGGATGGCAATGTCAAGTGTCCTCTGGTGGTGTTGTCAGTGGTGGCATCCTAGGTAGAAGCTTCCTGTGACAGGAACTTCAGTGTGCTTTCTTATAGCAGTTTTCTGAGCCTTGTTCATCAGCTTTTCTGTTGATTTTTTGATGTGTCTATGACTATTTCATTAAATTCCTTTCTGTTATGTTAGCTGGTGTCCACTTCTCTTGTCTGAGGCCAGGAATCCTGATGATTACAGTGACCACTACTGATTCTTAAAGTTCTCTCTTTCCTTGGGGGTCATCATTCCCTTATTCCTACTGCTCCTCAGAGTCATACTTTCCTGATTTTTATGCCAAATCCTTTGACCCTATATGTTGTCACTGTTCCCTTCATGGATTTTCTTTTTCTCTCATTCTGTACACTCTTTCTGATTGAGCTCATTCATGTCTCCAACTCCTTCAACTTTAATGTAAATGGTTCTTACATCTATTTTTTTCACCTAAGTCTTCAGTCCCAAATTCTAGATGCAATATTTTACTTTCTACTTATTATATGATCTAAATAAACTGATTAAATCATCTTCCATGTCGGAATTAGCTCATACCCCTGGACTCTCTTATTATACTAGCCAAAATTACGCAAAGTCATCTTGACTCTTCCCATATCTCCTATTCTCTTCTCCTGTTGCTCACTGCTTCATTTATGATCTCTCTTCTTTAGGCTGAAGAACTGCAAGGCCTTCCAAACTTGTGCTTTTTAAAGTGAGATCTGATATTGGTCTTCTGCTCAACGGTTTCAGAGTTCTTTGTTTTCCTCATATACACAAAGTAATTCTAGTCGAATTATTTCAATTCAAAATTAATCAGCTCAAGGACCATTTTGGAGGCCTTAATATAAGCTGTGAAGTACTAGAAATGCAAAGATACGTACAAATGATTCCTTACTCTTAGAGAGGTCAATGTCTTCTGGGAAAGGAAAATGCAATGCGTTGAGAGCAACTTATGATCCACTTCAGTTCTCTCAGCCTTGCTCTTCTCTTTCTCTCCCAGATCTGCATGGTTCCTGGCTGATGTAACACAGGCACAAAGACAGCATCTTGCCTCTCCTCACAGAGTGCCTTGTCACTTCGCTTCCATATTCCCATCACCACACAGGTTTGTAGTGAAATTAAGTCCTGAATAAATGATTGTTCCGGAAATGTCATTTTAATTTTATATTTAAAACACACTAGCATTGATTATAAGCAAAACCTAAATAAGAACAACTCCATGTTGTTCTATCCATGGAGGATAATCGGGGATTTATACCTTATTTTTTTGATATTGTCTTTAATAGACTTCTAGCTTATAAGAGTGGGAGGCATCTTCATAGAGAAAATTCTCCCAACAAACCTAGCAGCTTCTTTATTGGAATGATTACACCAAATAAGTAAATATCCTCAGAATATTATTTAATTCTATTTATTAATGAGATTCTACTAAGTCATTAAGCTAAAGCTAGAGTTTAACATGTAATACCCTTAATAAAATAAAAAGAAGTCAAATGATTTTTATTAAAATGTTCTCTCTCTTACAAATGAAGGGGTAAAAACAACAAAAAAATAACCTCTTCTACCTTATATCAGAAGATATTTGCTGTGAAATGTACTTACTTTTTAGGATCATCCATGAATGTTCGCTGAAGATATCAAAATGTCTCGATTATTTGACTTGTGTACTAACAATTCAAAAAACACAAGGCATTTGTCTCAGTATTTATTGGCTTTGCTTTTGATTTTTGAAATCTTGTATTGTGAGATAAATTCAGATTTACGTAAGTTGCACAAATAGTACAGAGAGTTCTCCTATATTCTGTACCCAGCTTTCCCTTATATTAACATCTTACATAACTATAGAACAAATTGAAACTAAGAAATTTATCTTGGTACAATAATAATTAAACCACAGAATTTGGGGGATGGGAGGGTTCACCAATTTCTTCACTAAAGTCCTTTTCCAGGATCCAATCCAAGATACTGTGTTGCATTTAATTGTCCTGTCACCTGATTCCTCCCATCTGTAACAGTTCCTTAGTCTTTCTTTGTCTTTCATTGCTTTAACATTTTGAGGAGTACTGGTCAATTATTTTGTAGAATATCCCTCAATTTAGGTTTGTCTGATGTTTTCTCATGATTAGATTGAGTTTCTGCATTTTTGAAGGATACCACAGAGGTGGTAGTCCCCTCTCAGTACATCATATCGCAAGGGACATGGAGTTGATATGCATTATTGATGATGTTAATCTTGATCATGCGATGAAGGTGGTCTCTAACAAGCTTCTCTATAAAGTCATAATTTTTCTTTTTATCATTAATATTTTGAGGGAGATACTTTGAGACAACTCAAAATATGCCATTTATGCTTAAACTTTTATCAACACATTTTAGCATCGATGGGTGGATCTTGCCTGTGGCAATTACTATTGTGGTATTCTAAAGGTGATTTTCTATTTCCCTCTTTCACTCTACATTTACTAATTGGAGTTCATCTGTAAAGAAGAATTTTATTTATCTATTTATCTCCATTGATGGACTTGTAATGTTTATTTTATTCTTTGGGTTATAGTCCAATAATATGTAACGATTTTGTTGCTCACGGTATTCTAACTTTGGCCATTAGGGGCTCTTTCAGATTGGCTCCTGCACCCTTTTGGCTTGTCTCTATGTCCCCCCTGCCCTCCTTTTTTTTTTTAAGCATTTCCTTACTTTCTGACATCAAGAGATGCTCTAGATACCTTGTATTTTTCCTGCCCTAGACCTGCAATCAATCAGTTTCCAAGGATTTCTGGATTCTTTTATTGGAGATATAGAAACCAAGATCTGGGCACCAGTTATGCTCATTGCTACTGGGGCATCAGAGGTTACAGAAAAAAGAGAGATACAAAAAAAAACAAAACTGGCAAAGGAAATTTGAAGAGAAGTCTCAGCACAGAAACTGTGTGGAGGGCCTAGCACTCCACAAGGCCAGCTTGGGGCAGGAGGGCAGAGATACTCAGGAAGAATGCCTGTAAGACAGAAATAGGACTCAGCAACTCTGACCTCATTGACAGTCATAATAATGTAGAAATTGAACAGTGACTTAATCAGAATTTGTGAAGGAAGTGGGGTGGGAGGTAGAGAACTATGGATGGGGGTTGTAAGAGAGCTAAATACTCATATTTCCTGTAGTAGAAAATCAGCAAATAACTGTCTAAATTTTAACAATAACAGTTTCTGTATAAGCACATTATTTAGCAATATGGTGGCAAAGAGCAGAAGAAATAGCTTAAAAAGTTGAATGTAGTTGCTTCTAAAGAGTGAGAATTGGGAATTCAGAGAAGGCAAAAACTACCTTTTTTTAATGAGTGTATTTGATCTTTACATGCATTTTTGGTATCAACAAAAATTAAATTTAAAAAGAGAAGAAGAAGGCATCACAATCCCTGACTTCAAAACTTACTACAAAGCTACAGTAATCAAAACAGCATGGTACTGGTACAAAAACAGGTGCACAGATCAATGGAACGAATTGAAAGCCCAGAAATAAAACCACACATCTATGGACAGCTTATCTTCGACAAAGGAGCTGAGTGCATACAATGGAGAAAAGAAAGTCTTTTCAACAAATGGTGCTGGGAAAACCGGAAAGCCATATGTAAAAGAATGAAAATTGACCATTCTTTTTCACCATTCACCAAAATAAACTCAAAATGGATCAAAGACCCAAAGGTGAGACCTGAAACCATAAGGCTTCTAGAAGAAAACGTAGGCAGTACACTCTTTGACATGAGTATTAAAAGGACCTTTTCGGACACCATGTCTTCTCAGAGAAGGGAAACAATAGAAAGAATAAACAAATGGGACTTCATCAGACTAAAGAGCTTCTTCAAGGCAAATGAAAACAGGATTGAAACAAAAAAACAACCCTCTAACTGGGAAAAAATATTTGCAAGTCATATATCTGACAAAGGCTTAATATCCATAATATATAAAGAACACTCACAACTCAACAACAAAAAATCAAACAACCTGATCAAAAAACAGGCTGGAGACATGAACAGACATTTCTCCAAAGAAGATATACTGATGGCCAATAGGCACATGAAAAGATGCTCATCATCGCTGATCATCAGGGAAATGCAAATCAAAACTAAGATATCACCTTAAACCCATTAGAATGACAAAAATATCTAAATCTAATAGTAAATGTTGGAGAGGTTGTGGAGAGAATGGAACCCTCATACACTGCTGGTGGGAATGCAAACTAGTGCAGCCACTATGGAAAACAGTATGGAGATTCCTCAAAAAATTAAAAATAGAACTACCATACGATCCAGCCATTCCACTACTGGGTATCTATCCAAAGAGCTTGAAGTCAGCAATTCCAAAAGTCCTATGCACCCCAATGTTCATTGCAGCATTATTTACAATAGCCAAGACATGGGAGCAACCTAAGTGCCCATCAACAGATGAATGGATAAAGAAGTTGTGGTATATATATATACAATGGAATACTACTCAGCTGCAAAACAGACCAAAATCATCCCATTTGCAACAACATGGATGGACCTCGAGGGAATTATGTTAAGTGAAATAACATATTATCCAGCTAGATTATCCAGCTAGAGAAGGATAATCTCTGTATGACTCCACTCATATGAGGAATTTAAAAATGTGGACAAAGAGAACAGATTAGTGGCTACCAGAGGAAAGGTGGGGTGGGGGGGTGGGCACAAAGGGTGAAGTGGTGCACCTACAAGACGAATGACAAACATTAATGTACAACTGAAATCACACAAGATTGTAACCTATCATTAACTCAATAAAAAAAAAAAGAATGGACTTAAAAAAAAAAAAGAGAGAAGAAGAGCACAGCCACAAAAGTTACAATAGGTAAGAGTTGATGGAGCTGCCTCTATTCCATGTGAAATAAATACAAGGAGATTCACACCTAGAGATATATTTTTTAATATATCACCTAGATGTATATTTGATCATAATTATATATATATTTATAATTATAATTTATATAATATATAATTATATTATTATATATTTATTATTTATATATATTATTTATGTTATTAACAGAAGATAAAACAAAAGTTTTGGGAAAAATAAACGCTGTTACCGAAGAACATTGTATTCTAACAAATTGTGTACCTTGTATAAAGTCAATGGAACTTCAGTTTTAAATATTTTCAAGTTAACAAAACATGCACCTACTGAAAACAAAATGTATTTTCATGTTTAATCCAGTTGACAGCTCATTTCACAGATTAGGTAACTGATTTGCAGGGACGTTTTATAACATACTCTAAATTCTTAAGCGTAAGAAGCAGAACTAGCATTAAACTCAGGTCTGTTTGACTTACCTGTTATGTTAGGTGGGAGCATTATTCCAGGAGCTTGACAATATTCCCTCTTCCTACTCTTCCTCCTTTTTCTTCTCTTTCTCTCTCTTTTTGCTGCTTGAGAAAATTTTTAAAAAACCAAAAAATCCTCAACAACAAAGTTTTGAGCCAGGAGTTCCAAACTCAGAATACAGATGTCTGTTAATTTTTCCTAAAAGGAGGAGGAGAGAAATAATCTATTCGTTATCAATTTTTTGCCAGTGGAACCACAGCAGCAGTGAAAGGGACAAAATCTGTGTGCTGGACACTGTGCTGGATTGTGGGGGTACAACGATGAACAAGACTGATGTGGCCCTGCCCGAATGGAGGGCACATTCTAATGGGGAAGATAGACAGAGACGGAAAAAAACGTAAGTAAAACACAGTATTGGCTTGTAATAACTGCCAAGAAGGAAACAAAGAAGGTGCTGGCAGAGGAAATAACGGGGACCATGTGATCTACTCTAAAGTGGGTGGCCAGGAGAAACTCTGAGAATATGATTTACCCTGATTCACGGTAGTTGAGAATGAGCTAGCCATGCGCTAGCTGGTGAGGAGGCGTTCCAGACAGAAGGACAGGAAGTGACCAAGTCAAGACAAGAATGACTACTGAAGTGTATGGACTCGTGTGGACAAATTAGGCATTTTCTCATTATGATTGCATTGGTTCCTGTTTTAGAGTAGTATTCTGTTAGTTTTTTATTTAGGTAGGCCAGTCGTTGTCATTCTTGGAAGCACATTAAAATCAGCTGGAAAGGTTTTTTTAAAAAATACATGTGCCTGAGCTCCAATCCCAGGGAGTCTGATTTAATTGGTCTGGGGTGGGGCCCAGACATCAGTATTTTTCTTAAAACTCTACAACTGATTGAAGTGTGTGGACAAAGTTGAGGACCTCTGGTCTAGTCAGTGGCTACTCATCAGAATCACCTGGGGTACTTGTTAAAAATATAGATTCCTAGTCCACTGCCTCAAGAATCTGATTGTGTAAGTCTGAGATAGACCAAGGAAATCTGTACTTTTGACAAGTACCCTGGGTGCCTCTGATAATTAGCCAAGTTTGAGTAACATTGGGGGCATCCAATAAAAATGAGAAACAAACTAGACTGGTCTGTTTCTTGCTTGATGACACATTTCCTCAAACTCATCCTACTGCTGCCTCTTGTTGAGAAAAAATTTCCTTCTAAAATTTCCTACTTTTTCTGTGTGTGAGTGTGTGTGTATGTGTGTTTGTGTATGTGTATTTGGTTTAGCTATTGACTAATCCTTTTCAGAGCATTCAAGTGCCAATTTTCAATATTTATTTTATGTACACACTTTCACACATGCTCACAATATAAAAAACACAACAAACTGTATAGTGGTAAAATACTTGTGTATATTTAATCACTCTAAACACTAAAAAGACTTTTTTAATTGCTATTTTTCTTTGGGGGGCATTTCTTCTTTTACAGTCAGATGCTACTTTCCTCACCAATTCTGAATCACCTTGTTCTATCCAAATGAATTTGGGATTCTTAAATGGCATTCTCAGAGTCTGACAGCACTGGGTCTAGAATATAATCAAGCACATTGTCTCCAATTTCCTTCACGTCTTCCCTGCCAGAACACCTCACCCTCATCCTCATTGAGGAGATAACACCACTAATTGGAGGTGGGAAGGGAGCTCCATTCTGCTGACCAGCCTTTTTCAAGTGACTCTGCCCAATGAGACTCTGTACAAAACTGTTTCTTGTTAGACAGGTGTCTTTCCACCAGGGATCACGTTGCAACTACTAAGTGTAGGTGGGTGGTGTAGGGATGAAGGAACTCCTTCTTTATTTTCATAATTTAAGTATTATATGCAGCATTCTAATTTACAGTATCTGCTGCATACGTTCGTACCTCTTAAATCAGCAGGGAGTCCTAGAAATACACATTTCACATAGAAGGATCTCTTTGCAACTTATCTTCAGGAAATAAATATCAAGTTGCTGCTCCAGACGTAGAAGAATTTCCACATTTAACGAACCAGCAAAACAAATAACCAAAAATGAATAAAACAGCAGCAGCATCAACAACAATAACAAAATAACACATTTGGGGACAATAACCCTTGGTTCTCTTTATTTTCCTTCTTCACTATACTCTTCCCTTCTTACCAGTGGCTACTTTTCACTTAGATCTTCAAACTCTCTGCAGTTAGAGTTTTTAACTTAGGCTCAACATGTTTATTCTGTTTTAATTTTCCTACAACAAAGTGAAATATATCGATTTTTTCTTTTACTTGCACTTGGAAATAGAACAAGATTTTCCAGGTCTAAAAACAGAACAAAATAGAATAAACAATGAATGTTATACTTGTTGGTGAATAACCAACTCTCCAGAAAAAATAAAAATTAAAAAAAACCCTCTGATTTAGAACATGTGACATTTGCCATGGTGGAAATACCCCCACCATAGCTGATTTCAAGCTGCCAACGTGGTGTCTGTGAGTGCAGATTTTGGAAGAGATGTACACAGTTGGCTCTAGAGAACCAGGACATACAGCTTCAGCACACCCTGGTGAGAACTTTATGGATATTTGTTCATTTAATTTCCATTATATTGCAGCGAAGTAGAAGGAGAAGCACTAAATTTATTCAGGACAATTGGGTTTGAGTCTGGGCCTAGCTACTTACTACCCTTGTGAACTCAGGCCAGTAATGTCATTCTCTCTGATCCTGAGTCCTTCTACCTAAAGTATTTAAATCTTTCTCTTTAATTATCTCCTTTTGAATGTTTTCAGCTTGTTAGCATGTTTCAAAACAATTGTAAAGTCAGTCATGTTGACAGTATGTGCCCTTGATGTGATGAAAATGGCATTTTACTCCAATCCAGTCATGAGAAAAATATCAGACAAATCCCAGTAGGACACACAATGAGAGACTATTACAGTCAAGAGGAACCTAAGAAGACATATCTACTAAATGTAATGTGGTATCAGGGATGGGATGCTGGAACAGAAAAAGAACATTAGGCAAAAACCAAAGAAATCTGAATAAAGTATGGAGTTTAGCTGTTAATAATATATCAATCTTGGCTCATAATTGTAACAAATGTGCCGTACTAATGTAAGATATTAATGATAGAGGAAAGTGAGTACAAAGTGTGTGGCAATTCTCTGTACTGTCTTTACAATTTTTCTGTAAATCTGAAACTGTTCTAAAACATAAAAACAAGAACAACCAAAAAACGAAGTATAAGGTTTCCTCTATGTGATAAATACTTGAAAACGACTATTATATAATATCAACATGGAAGCGTCTCTTGTGTAGGATAAAAGTTGTGAGTTTCTTTAACCATTCTTTGCATGATACAGCTTCAAGTTCTGCCTCCATCCTGGGAGTTTCTGATTATTTCCTGCGTAAGTATTGTTCTTTCGTGATTTTTGGTTTTGTTTATACACTTCTCTGCCAATTGTCCGTCCTTTGGACCCCTTTATCTCATTGGCTTCAACTCATTTTTCAAGAGCCACTAAAATAGCACCTCCTCCCTTGTGACACACTAAATCTAAAAACGTTACTTTCCCTATTCACCATGCTGAATGACTTTGTCTCTTCTCTCATGGCGTTTGTTCATAGTTGTTATGTCACCATGCTGTGTATAATATCTTTTCTCATCTGTTTCTTTTATCACACTGAGACAAGAGGCCATGTCTATGTCCTGAAAATGTAGAAAAGAACCAGACGCATAGAAGTGGCATGCTAAGTTGATACAGTTGGTCCATCCTGGGCTAGCTTTTCCCTTCAATCCATTTTGGTCAGTTCCCTCTTCATATATTCTTGTGCCTCTCTTATTTCATATGTTCTCCATACTCTTTCTGCTTATCTAGTTCCTGTCCACCTTTCAAATCTCCTTTTATAGGATATACTAATCTCTTTCTGAACCTCAGTTTCTAGTTAGCAAAACACCACTAATTTGTCTCTCCTTGTTTCAATGTGCTTGTAGTTTGTCTGAGCTCAGGACCCTTGTCTTCATGCCGTGCTTGATGCTTGTATTCCTCACAGGTCACCTAGTATTTTGCTAAGATGTGCTGATGGTCTGGTTTTCTGAATATCCTGCTCTTCATGGAATGTCCTTCCTCTGAGTACTGGAGGCACTAAATTTCTGTACCAATATTTAGCATGTGATTGTATATTTCCTGTTCTGTTCTGTCTTTGGTGCATATACATTTTGTCTGCTTAACAACGTTGTAAGCATTTTTAGGGCGTAGTTGCTCCCCCCAATTCATTTTCTTTTTCTCACATTTTCAAGCAGTGTGCTAGACACATTACAGATACTTATTAATAAGTGCTGAACTTATTTCATATAAAGACTCACTCTCTCTGAGGACCTGGAAAAATATTAGGCCCATTCCAATTTGAATCCAGACCCTGTGAATGGAATCTGGGAGTTCCTAAACTCAGCATTTTCTAGACTCACTTTCCCTAAATTACCCCACTGCAGGAGAATTGTCTGTTACCAACTGATTGCAGAAGCACCTATAATGCAATGATAATTTGAGCCCAGTGGCTAATTGAGGCTATTTCATAAAGGGAGTATGCTTTAAGGGGTGTAGTTTCTTTTGTTTAGTGTTAATTACTCTTAATCTATTTACATAAAAGAAACCACAGCTAACACAAATGTATAGTATAGAAGTGTATTTTTAATGTAGTTTAGTCTAAAAATATTCATCGGTTACTATTTTCCCTTTCTCCATCCCATAACTATTTTATACATTACACACTATTTCCAAAAGTTAAAAGTTCTTATGTACTTTATTAATGAAAACAGAAATACAGATGTCTAAGAAAATATTTCTTTCTATTCTATGTTTTGTCTACTTGTTGTATGATACAACTGATTAATATTAAAGATTTTCCCAATATTTGCCATTTCTTTTAACTGAAATTCACTAAAAGATTTGCAGAATTTAGAAATCTGAATAATATGCTGAGATCATAAAACACCTAACATCCAATTCTAGAAATTATAATTATGAAAAGAACCCTTATCTTACAGCTTTAGTTTTTTTTTATTTTTCACTAATTTACTATTCAAATCAGTAAGCCAGATCTATGGACTTATAGGCAAAAGACCTAAATCTGCCCGTAGCCAAGACTAATGGTGTAACCTTGGGCACACCCTTTTTCTCTCAATTTTCTCATTTGGAAATCGAGGATTCAATGAGACAATGTGTATGAAAGGTTTCTATAAACTCTAAGATGGCATTTTAGTACTTTTAAGAAGACACTTATTCCAAGTTATAAAATTTGAAAATAAAAAAGTAAAACCTGATCAGGTAATAACCTTAAGAGCTCCAGGGACCTAGAAAATCAATTTAATAAAATTGCCCGTCCTTATTGGTGAAGGC